ATTCAGCTGTTTATTTGTATTCTCTTGAAATTCATTCAGATGTTTACTCATGTCCCCTTTCATTTCATTGATCATTCTTTTGAATGCTTTGGGATTTCATCTACTTCACTATTGTTAGTCTCAGTAATTGTGGGGTTGTTGACCTTGGAGGAGTCATTTTACCTTTTGTTTTTCATATTTCTAGTGTTTCTGTGTTGGGACTTATGCATCTGAAGTCAAGTTGTTAGTTGGAGGTTTTAATCATCTGTAGATTTTGGTTGAAGTATTCTCAATGTTCAAACAGGACTGCGTAGTGGCAGGGTTGATGTGCAGTTTCTCACTACTGGACTTGGTATCCCTCAGTAGCCAAACATTGCCCATGTGCTGAGGGCATGGGGCCTGATACCCATCACCACTCAGAGAAAAGCTGGTTGGATTCTCTAGTTCTTCCTAGTATACAAGCTGTTGCTCTATGTGTGCTGAGGTGGGGACTGGTTGAGAGTCAGTTGTCTGCTGCTGGATTACTTTCACTTTAGAACTTCCCTTCTTTGTGTTCCAGGAGTTTCTGTTATCCACAAGGAGCTTTGCAGCCTGTGGGCTGGGCAGATTCCCATTTGCTCCATGAGGCCCCCAGTTTGTGCTTCCAGGGACAGTAAGCACCCAAGCCTAGAGGTGGGTGGAGCAAACAGAGTACTGAGTTCTGCCCTGAAGGGAGAGAACTGAAGGGCTCAGCCACTCTGGCTTCCAAATTTAGTGCTTTCAGACCCTACCCAGAAGATCACCACCCTGTGAGAGGGAGGAGGTTGGGGGTAATCATGTGATCTAGGCTCTGAGCCTTCAATCCTACCTGGTAGCAAATACAAGGACTCAACTCCTGGAGGAGGTTGGTCTCAGTGCTTTCAGATCCTGCTCAAGAGTTCTCCACTATAAAGGGAGAAGAGGTTGGGGACATAACATGATTTTTTTTCCAGAATCTGGGCTCAGAGCTTTCAGTCCTGCCTGGCAGCAAACACACATAGCTGGGGAATGGGGGAAGTAGGGCAGTTCCTAGAAGTTGAGCATTCTGCCAGCCACAGGCTTGGTGCTTTGTTTTCCCAAACAAAATGGGACCCACTCCTTGTCAGGAGGTGTGGGGCACCAACCATCATGCCTTTTAGTACCCAGGCTTCCTGCTGCTTAAACTTCTCAGAAGGTCCATGTCAGAACCACTCCTTCTCCGCAACCACTTCCTGTGGCTGTCTCTCCCCCTAGACACTGTGGCAGTGTGTCCCATAACTCCCCAAGCCATGATTGTTCCTTTTATTCATTCACAGCAGCCCCAGACACTCTAAAAAAAATGCCAGTATGATGACAACATTCCTCTTTAAAACCCTCTTGGCATATTACAAAAAGGATGAACCCTGAAGACATTATGCTGACTGAAATAAATCAGACGGAGAAGAACAAATATGGTGTGATTCCACTTACATGAGAATAGAATGGTTAAATTTATAGAGAAGGTAGAATAGTGATTTCCAAGAGCAAGGATAAGGGAAGAATGGGAAGTTGATGTTTAATGAGCACAGAGGTTCAGTTTGGCATGATGAAAAAGTATTAGTTGGGTGCATAGCTCAGTGGTAAAGTGCATGCTTAGCATTTGGGAGGCCTTGGGTTCAATTTCCAGCAACACATACAAAAAAGGTCTAGGGATGGACAGTGGAAATGGTTGCCACTGAAGGCATACTGAAAATTTTAAAGTTTTTTTTAAAGCCCTTTCAGTTGCTCACTGCCATAATGATAAAGATCCCAGTAGTTGGTACTACCTAGCAGGCAGGTATGAGCAGGCCTGTCATTCTACACCTTAATTTCTATGCTGGTTACACTGGCTGCCTTGACAAGTTCTGATGACATTTCCTTCTTTCTTCAAACCTTACTCTTTAAGGTTCCCTCTCCTGGCATGAAGTGCTCGCCCTCCTTTTTCACTTGGTCAACTACTCACCCTTCCAGTCCTCAGTTTATACATGACTCCCTCCAATGATAGATCCTCTTATTTACACTCTAACAGCACCTATACTTCTTTGTAGCACTCATCACAATCACGATTTATTATTCAGTATCGTCTCCTCCAACATATTGCAAGCTCTGTTAGTCTAGGGACCAGCTGGCACTTAGTAAAAACTCAAGACATATTTGTTGAGAGAATAAATTCATACATGAATGAATGAATAACCACCTAAATGGGAAATAACTCACTAATAAAATGAGGATTATCACTTTAAAAAGTTCCTTCAAAGGAAAACATTATATTGTTTTTATGATTATAAAAATCATACAGGGCTGGAGGCTTGGCTCAAGCAGTAGAACACCTGCTTAGCAAGCACAAGGAATTGAGTTCAAACTCCAATGCTGCCAAAAAAAATTCTCTATAGAAAACCTTGAAAATCCAGATGAAGCATAAAGAAAATAAGTTTCCAGTCCCCAGCCCCCGAGGGAGTCACCATTACATATCTTGCTATATTTTTTTCTAGTACGTGTATTGTTGCTTATTTTTTAAAGAAATAAAATGCTCAAGTGGGAAGTGTGTGTATAGTTTTAAGTGTATATACACTATAGAACATGAAAAATTATGAACTAGAAAACAAATGAAAGGAGTTCATATTTCACCATAATCTACCTATACAAGAAAGAAAACTTGTTTTCAAAACTCCATTCTGCTTGGGTAGCTGACTCAAATTTCCATAGGCAGATACAAATCTCAGTCCACAGAGCTTGAGGCTCAGGAAATAAAAATTTATTTTTCAGAATTCACCTTTTTTTGGTGGGACTAGGTTTTGAACCCAGGATTTCCACTGGCAAAGCAGGCACTCTACTACTTGAGCCACACATCCAGTCCCAGAATTCATCTTATTACCAATTTTATTCTGCTGAGATGGCTAGTTTGGGGCTGTAAGTGAATAGAGTTAGCTTGCATAGTGCCAAAGCATTGGAGGAGGAGAACATCTTATTCTATGCATACACATACTCATCCTATTTTGTTCTTGGTCATTGGTCCATACAGCCAACTATTCTCTCATTTTTGCCTGCCTGGGTTCTATAGGTCCTATGGCTTCTTTCCCAACTTCGGTGCCACAGTAACCATTCTGTTGCTTTTTTTTTTTTTTTTTAGGATGATAATTTGGAAATCTCTACAAGGCAGTTTTAGAGTGTGAGTAGGACCTGTGCTATGACATGATTATCACTTCCATGAACATGGTACATTACATAGCAAAATGGAGATTATCCAGGTAGATCTAATCTAATCACACGTGCACTTTAAAAATCAAAGTTTTCTCTGGCTCATGCCAGAAGAAGCCAAAGATTTCAATCATGAGAAGGCCTCAGTATAGCAGACTCCAGCTGACAGCCAGCAGGGAAATATGGATCTCAGTCCTACAATTGCAAGGAAATCCATCCTGCCAACAACCTCAATAAGCTGTGTCAAAAATAAAATCTGATCAAACGTTTAAAAAAAATTTAAACATTGTGCATACAAAGAACAGAACACAAAACCAGACATTAGAAGCCCAATTCCATGGCACTTTCATTGCATCTATACAGCATAAAGGAGACAGTATTTTAACACTCTTCACAACTGACTGTTATTCATTAACCTTCCTTTTAAGGAAAGCAGAGCTGTTCAACCTGATTTGTCTGTAGCTGGCTGATTTAATTTTATTGAATCATAATGACAAAGACATTTTGTGTTTAGTGTTTGAGGGCAATAGATGACTTAAGTTTTGGCTATATGGCTACGGGTGATTGGACTTTGAATGGCTAAACTATGGCCTCTAATTTTATTCACCTTTAACACTTGGAAGCAAATTCTTCCCAGAGCCTACAGATAAGAGCCCAGCCTGATAAAACACCATGAATTCAGTCTTGTTACATATTGTCAACATTGAACCCAGCTAAACCTGCCCAGACTTCTAAAAGAGATCTATAGAATTATGAGGTAAGTGGGTGTTTTCAACCACTGCATTTGTGCTTATTTTGTTACACAGTGGTAGAAAAGTAATACAAAGGGATTCCATAGAGGCATAATTACCAAGAGGCAAGAATCATGGGGACCACCTTAAGTCTATCTGTCACTGGAGCCCAACCAAGACTGGCAGAGTCTTGATCAGATTAGCAGAATGTCCCAGTCAATTTATGGCATAATGAGCAATAATAAATGGTGGTTGTCTTAAGCCACTAAGATTCGGACTGACTTGTTATGCAGAGGAGTCTAATTGTTCCATCTGCTGAGGTGAGAGAAGTATAGAGCCATTCCTCTGAAGTGAAAAGCCCCATTATACTTCCAAAGATGGTAAAGAATATGGAAAGAGCATGGAATCCACATTTGAGCCCACCACTTTATGAGGTGCCATTTGTGGAATGCTTTTTGGGGTGTGTGTGTGTGTGTATAAGAGGGGGGAATGGTCTTGCTATGAAGTCTAGGCAGGTCTGGAACTCACAATCCTCCTGCCTCCACCTCCTGAGTGCTGGAATTACAGTCATGTACCACTATGTTTGGCTGTTGCATATTTTTTAGCACTGTGGTAGAAGCCCTAAGACTGAGCATCTAATTTAAACCATCTGAGTCTAAATTCCTAAGACTCGGTGGACTCTATGCTATGGTTTCACTTTGAGTTAATCTTGATTCCATCTTCAATTCTTGTCTATAAAACGAGCTTGGTTACACTACTCAGTTCACAAGATTACATGACTCTTAAACTGTGAAGTCTTGTGTAAATACCAGAAATCATTACTAGCAGTCCAGAATTCAGTTTTCACATCTTATTTGCCACTGAAACTCATTTAAGGAAATTGTACCAACACACACCATATATGTAAATGTACTACATCAACATGCATGTCAACACTTGGTTTCTAAGAGGCAGAACTCACATGGGCCTGTAGCCTCCCTGATTGATGTACCAATTAACCACTCAAAGAAGCATGCATTGAAACCATTTCACAGGTTAACAATAACCTCTGGTTTTAGAATTAGGGGAGAGGAGCTGTTTTGGGGGATTTTTTTTTTTTTATTTTTGGTGGTACTAGAGTTTGAATTCAAGGCCTGTGCTTGCTTAGGTAAGCACTCTTCTACTAGAGCCATGCCCCTGGCCCTTTCCACTTTTTTATTTACAATCCTCCTACCTATGCTTCCTGCAGCTGGGATTATAGATATAAGCCATCACTTCCAGCTCATTTTGTTGAGATGGGGTCTTGCACTTTTGCCTTGCTGGCCTGTAACAGTGATCCTTCCTGATCTAAGCCTCCTGAGTAGCTGGGATTACAAATGTGATCCACTGTATCTGGTGTAGGAGCTAATATTTTGTGGGCTTCTACTTTTCTGGCCTCTAATGTTTCCTGCTAGATGACTAATTTACATCAAATGATTATGAGGATTTCATTTGAACTGAGACTGGAGCATGGGTTGTTTCAGAAGTATCCCAGGTAATTCTGCTGTGTATCCATGATCAGGGATTACTGACACAATCCATCAATTCTTGCAGAAATTCTTTAGCATAGGTTTTATGTTCATTTGATAGTAAAAACATGGACACCCACAGATGTTAGCTTCCCCACACATCTTGAAAAGCTAAGTTTTTTTTTCTACTTCACCTAAATGACACATTTCCTAAGTAGAGGACACAATCATGCTCTCCAAATCAAAAGAGATACCAAACCTAAAGGTGAGGCAGAAAATCCCTTTTTAATAATCACATCCCTTTTGATGATCCTATTTTCTTTGTTTTGTTTTAGTGGTACTGGGGTTTGAACTCAGGACTTGTGCTTGCAAGGTAGACACTCTACCCATGAACCACTCAGTCGTTTGTGCTCTGGTTATTCTGGAGATAAGGTCTTACTTTTTTTGTCCTGGCTCACCTGCACTCCATCCTCCTATTTTAGGCTTCCTGGGGACCGCAAAACCAGGCAGGCACCACCACACCCAGCTTTTTTCCATTGAGTTGGGGTCTCAAAAACTTTTTTGCCTAGAATGGGCTGGAATCAATCCTTCGGATCTCAGTCTCCCAAGTGGCTAGGATTACAGGTGTGAGTCTTGAGTGTCCAGTCTGTTGACCTTATGAACCTCCATGAATCCTTTCTGGCCACCTCAAACCTTGGTCTCTTCACTGAATTTCCACTACACGAGTAACAGATTTATTTCCATGGCAATCATGCCACTGCACCTTGTACTTGTGTCCATGTTGCCCAGAGCTGTTTACTTTCCTAGAGGATCAACCTGATGACCTGCAGGCAAATCGTGGTCAGAGCTCTGGTTTGGGGTTAGACCCACCTGAGATGGACTCCTGACTGTAGCTGGCTGCTGTGGCCCTAGTGAGGTATTTTATTCTTTGAAACTTCAGTTCTGTAAAAATAAAACACGTACCTTAATAAGGTTTAGAAACAATACATTCAGTGAGTCAGTGATTTGTATATCCTCCCTCACCAATGGAAGCAGAGTATGGTCCATGGCAAACACAAAGGAAGTAGTAAGTCGAACTAGATATTTGGAACTTACTCCTTTTTGAACTCAAATGCCCTTACCATTTGGGGAAAGAATAAAATTAAGCAGTCAAGAAACCTAGCTGAGGTTGACATTTCTGTCCTTCAGAACAGGTTTCCAGAAAGTTATGTACACACGATACTCCAGTCAAGCCACAGGAAATCATTACATTGAACATTTTTTTTCTTTCCCACCCACGTCCTTTTGCCCTACGACCAGGTCCCCACCCCAAGCTCTGCCTGCCCACTTGGAAAGGAGTGGCGGATTTGCTTTCCCAGTGGATTGGTTTACAGAGTGGGGTAAATCAGGAAGGCTCCACCCACTTCCCCGGAGCGCTGCGGACGCGCGCTGCCTATCCGCTCCCCGCGGGACGTGCAGGGAGGTGGGCTGTTACCTGTCCCTTTAAGGAGGAGGGCCGAGCGCGGCCGAGCGAGCCGGCGCAGCCCCCAATCCCCAGAGCAGCTGCAGCCCCGGCCCCGGCCGTCCCTTGGAGAGCAGCGTCCGCCCCGGCACCGGCCAGAGTCGCCGCCATGGTGCAGATCGTGACCGTGAAGACCCAGGCGTACCCCGACCAGAAGCCCGGCACGAGCGGGCTGCGGAAGCGGGTGAAGGTGTTCCAGAGCAGCGCCCACTACGCGGAGAACTTCATCCAGAGTATCATCTCCACCGTGGAGCCGGCGCTGCGCCAGGAGGCCACCCTGGTGGTGGGCGGGGACGGCAGGTTCTTCATGAAGGAAGCCATCCAGCTCATCGTCCGCATCGCCGCCGCTAACGGGGTAAGGGCCGCGGCGACTGCTCGGCGACCTCCGCCCGGGGCGCGTGCGCGACGTGCGGCCCAGGCCCGGCCTCGCTCCGCTCCCGCCCTGCCCGGCCACTTCCGTGCGGGCGCCCGGGCTCCACCCCCTACCCCGGGACGGGTGGGGATCCGTGATCACCCGCGCCGAGCTGAGCTGCTAGCTGGATCCCTGGGGAGCGGGGAGGCGCGGGGGAACCGGCCTTGACCTTGACCTTGGCTCTGACCCTCCTTCGGCCTCCTGTCCCGTCCCCCTCATGGTACTGGTCTTCCTGCGGCTCCCGAGGCCTTGACATTTGCATTCACCTTTGCTGCCTGGGAAGATACAGTTACAGCCCCGGGGTGCCGTGGCCTTCCCCGGGGAAAGGTGAGACCCGCTCACATCCCCTCGCCTTGCGCGTGGGTGCCTGCTATTCTGGTCTGCGACCTGGCGCTTCCCGCTGGCTCCGAGCCCCGCGCTTGGGGCCAGGATGGCGAGAGCACCCATCCCCCGGGGACGTCAGGCCAGAGGACTTGAGCTGGCAGCTGCCAAGCCTATCTCCCCATCCTCTAGTTCGCTTTGAGACACAGCTCCTACCCTTACTTGGTCTGCTTGCCGCGGTGCAGGCTTTGGAAAAGTCTAGTTTCTGCTGGACAGTACCCTGGATCTGATCCACCGAGGGGCCTGGAGCTTAATTTTCACTAAAACCAAAGCAACGTACGCAAGGGCGCTCTTAGGCAAGCAGTCTGGCAGGCCAGGAAATTAATGCAACTCCCTGGTTCCGCCCCCCTGGTTAAGGGACGTTAACTGACTTAATTGGGCAGGTCTACTTGGAGAGATGAAACTTTCAAAGAAGTTCCTTCCCTCCCACCCCCCGCTGGATTTGTAAAATAGATAAATTAGGGTTGGTTACTCATTTACTTTCTAAGGAACAAGTTTTCGTTTTATATTTAAAGTAAGATTTCACTTATACCTAACTCTTCTGGAGCTCATCCCTTTAGCAGGATCTTTATTCATTTTAGTACTACTTTGGCTTGCTTTAACACATTGCAAGCTGTTTTGCTAAACGCCCTGATAAACTCTTCATCTGCATGTCTCATTTATCCTCCTGCCGCCCTATAAGGTAGATGCTATTATGGGTACCTTCAAATTGCCAGTGAGAATACTGAAGCTTAATCAGATTAAGTAATTTACAAGAACTAACGTGTCAATACTGAGCATCAATACAGACCTACAAATCCCAAGAACTTGAGCTTCTTCTGAGAATGAAGGGGACCCTTAAATCTCAAGATCCATTTTCCAGTGGCCAAAATCTAATCTGCGTTCTCTCTCCACCTGCCTACCTGGGTCAGACATTTGTAAGCATCAGCCAGAGACATCTGGATTTGCTTTCTCTTTGCTCCTGAGTTTTGAGACCACAAATTTCCATGAGAGGAGAACAATCAGCAGCTGTGTCCCAGCAGATCCCTGTGGTGAACCGGCCCTTCATTCACACATTCAACTGAGCCCACAGCATGTACAAAGAAATGTGCAGAATCAAAGATGATTCAGACACAAGCCTTGTCCGCAGGGAGCTTTAGAGTCCAAATGGCAATCTCTCCATTTGGGAGCAGTGTAGGGTGGGAAGGAAAGAATTAGTTAAGACAAAAACAGGGTGGATGTAGCTCAGTGTTAGAACACTTGCCTGGCATGTGCAAAGGCCCTGGGTTCAATCTCCAGCACTACAAAAGAAAAAAAGTTCTTAAAACTTCATCAGCCTTTAGCTACTGCTCGGTTCTCTTTCCTCTTTTAACCAAACGCTATAAAAAAAGTTCTGTGTTCTCTAGAGTCACTCCGACTCTCACCTCCCGTTCACTCACAACCTCACTACCCTCTGGCTTCTCAGAGCCTCCTCTGTCTCTCCACTGAAAGTGCTCTTGCCACAGTTACTGGTGAGGCTCTGGTTGCTGCATCCATAGAACACTGTTTAGGCCTGAGGTTGACCTTTCTCCTGCATTTGGCATAGCTGATTGTGTTCTTTTAACAGTCCTCCTCCCGGCCTCCATCACACATTTACTCACACATTTCACAAGTTCCTTCACAGACTGATTCCCCACCTCCACCCTAGCTGTTCCCTAGGTTTCTGTCCTCTGCTTGCTGCTCTCTGATTTTATTTTCTCCCTCTACTCACCAGGGGTTTAACTCTGTTACTCCTCTCCCAGGTGCTTCCGTTCCCACAGCGTCTTCAGACAGCCTTTCCCCTGTCCACTGTTCATCTCTACCTCACTTCTTTCCCATAGATCCTTCTAGCCTAGATTAATCAAATTCCAGTGAATGGTCTGCTTACGTGTCACAGCTTCTTTACGACGGGCTGTGTTTTAGCTGGGAGTCTCTTTGGTATCATTAGAGGATTGGTCCAGGACCTCCTGCGGTAACCAAGTTCTGTAAGTGCTCATGTTCCTTCTATGAAACTGGGGTGGTGGTGCTGCATATGACCTTTGCCCGTGTTCCCATATATTTTAAGTTATCTCTACATTACTTCTCATACCTAACAATGTAAATGAAATGAAAGTAGTTATACTGTATTTTTAATTGCATTATATTTTATTGTTCCTTTTTGTTTTTTCCTAATATTATCAGTGTATGATTGGCTGAATCAATGGATGTGGAACCGGTGAACACAAGGAGCTTACTGTATCTACAATACCTAGCATAATGTAGCATTCAATGTATCCTTGCTCAGTTGCTCTGAGTTCTCAGTCAGCTGTGACTTAACTTAAAGTCACCATATAGTTGGTGGCCAATAAATTTCTTCTCATTAAGCATTTACTATGTGCTTGCTTTGTATCAGATATGTGTGAGATACAAAACATTCCTGCCCTCAGGAAAGACATAGTCAAGAAGGGAAGGTGAGCAGCAGTGCAAGGGAGGTAAGTACCAGTTGAAGGGGCGAGAGCAGAGAGGGCTGTCTATGAGGGGAAGATGAGCAAGGAGGCTTCAGAGAGGAGAAAAGTTGAATTGAATCTTCAAGGATGAGTGGGGATCAAATGTGCTGGAGAGGAGGAATTCTGGGAAGAATGGAAGTTGGGACCATTCTCTCAGGCAGGGTATTTAATTTCTGCCCTTTCTTCATCTGTAAAAGTTGTTTTTCCATGGTGGAGATCAAACCCAGGGCCACACAGAAGCTAGGCAATCACTCTACCACTGAGCTACATCCATCTTCATCTGTAAGTTGGAAATGATACTGCATGCTCAGAGAAGTTGTTGTGAAATGGGATAAAACGTATTTAAGAACACCTGGCAGCCCCTTTTCATCTGAAAACTGTTGAAATGGCATGTGTTCAGTGTTCTGTGATATTAGAACACAAAGTTCATCCAATGATGCAGGTAGTAGCTTCCCTCTCATATCAGCATTGTCTCCCACCTTCTTTAACCTTCAACAGCCCCAACCAGCCTGGTGGGGTTCTATGTCAGAACCATTGGGTGCAAGTGAAGAAACCTAGCAAATTAGTCCAAGTGAAAAAGGCATTTGTTGGCTCATGTTACTGATTAGAGGAAGAGCTGCTGAGTGCACACTCCTTGGTTCAATTTATGATTCAAAGAATGACTCCTGCCTCAGTGATCTGCCAGAGACCAGTAATAGAAACAGGAAAAAGTTCAAATTCATAAGTCAAAGGAGGTGGATATTTTGAAGGATAATTACCACACTTCTAAGCAAAATAAAATCAATGGTTTCAGAGTGAATTTTTCATCAATTCACAGATTTTTTTCCACTCATTTTATTGTTATATATTGTTCGTACAATATTATGGGTTTCATTATGACATTTTCATACATGTATGTAATGTACTTTGAGTATATTCATCCCCCCTATTAGTCTCTCTTGCTCCCCCTTCGTCTTCCTCTTCTCATGGGGGTTCTTTTGCTATGTGTCCTTGGCTATTCTTTGTGAACCCATGGAACCCTTCAGAATAATTTTATTTTAAGTGAATAAACCAAAATACAGAAATGCAATTATCAAAATATCAAAAAACAAAATTTGTGATACAGCAAGATATCTATGTGTTTCTTTCTTGCCCTATTAAATAGCAAGATTTAGAGGAGGGTCTAGTGATGAATATAAATGATATTTTGAGGTGGTGATTTATAATATGATAAGAAAATAATCATTTAGGGTGTAGTAACAGTAGTGATAGTAGAAATAATACTGTGGTATACTTCCTGCATTTATCATTGAGGAAATGCTAAATTTCAGTAGATGTCAGTGAAATCACAGAAAAAAATTCTTTTGTCTTTTGCCATTCATGTTCAAGTACCCCACTGAGTTCTCATGGACCTTCTAGTTATAAGGGAGAGTGTTATCTGAACATCTTGAGTTGAGAACCCCTGCACTAGGTAAACGGTGCTGTCCACACCAAAATGGGACCCAGGGATCAAAGGTGTCATTTCTCAGACCAAACCAGCCAGGCTTGAAGAACTTCTTTACAATGGAGGAACTCTGCCATTTTCCATTTGGGATGGGTCCCTCTTTTCTGAGCCTTGCTGGAGTCAGCCGCAAGCACTGGTGTTTCAGGCTTTAGTTCACATTTGCTGAGAAGGCAGTGAAAGAACCCTGAGCCAGCGGGGAAAGTTCAGGGGACTCTTAGGTAGTTGGCATTAGATGGAGGCACCTTGCTCTCCTTAAAACCCTTATGTCCTTGAGGCAGGGATGATGTGGCAGAGAAACATCCTTGGGTCACTTTTTAATATGTTGC